TAGATATGCAGAAGACGAGGACGCTCATTGCATTACGGAGACGACATAGCTAGTGTCTTGACCTCAGGGATAATGTGCATACCCTTAGATTTTATTTTAATCCTGAATTTTTAGTTTGAATTTGTTTAACAAATGAACCATTAAATAGTCTAAGCTTTGAGACGAGCCCCCACAGCTGGCCGTAACGGCCCATGCTGTTTGTGATGGCCGAGTTTGGGCCGAGTCTCTGAAATACCCGAGAGAGAGGACAAGAACTGGTTTCTCATGTTACTGCAAGGGTTTCACTGGGTGTTCTGCTCACTATCCATTAGCTTTTTTGCCTGGAGCTCTAACATCGTCACACAAACAGCAGTAAAAGTGGATCAATTTGTTCCCATTTGTTCTATTGAAGTGAACTCTTCCCCAGTTTCCCCTGGTTACTGACCCAGCCAGCTAGAGCCACCTGCAAACCCTTATACAGAGTGAATGAGAGTGAGAGCGAGGGAGGGAGGGAGGTTGGAAGGGGGTTGGAGTGGGAAAGAGAGAGAGAGAGAGACAGAGACAGGCCATCTGAGAGAGAAATGGGCACCTGCAGAGAAGAAGACTGAAAAATGCAGCGAAGGAGAGAGGGGGGGAGAGGGGAGGGGAGAGCTGACGAGGAAAGGGATTTAAAAAGGGGGAAAAAAAGGAAGCGAGATAGGAGCGGGAGTCAGACTGGGAGTAAAGGCAGGGTGACAGAGGTACAGGTGCTACCAGATCATTCCTCTGCTACACCAGACTGCAGTTAAATGAATGGAGGAGGTCGTTATGCCCCAGAGCCAGCCAGTGAGTTGGCACTGACACAATGGTCGTGATACATGGGGAAGTTTTAGAGGCAATAATACAGGGCGATATTGGCTTTGTTTGGATAGGGCCTCGCATTCATGGCACAATTGATGCGGATAACTGCAGGCTGTTATCAATGAGTGATTTTTAGCAGACACAATAAAGGATGGCATTATTCTCACCAGCTACAGAAAACGTGTTACATAGGCCGTTATCTGCCTCTGGTAATCCAGGAAAAGAGAGAATAAACATGTATTTTTAATAAAAAAAATAAAAAATCAAATCCCAGTAAAGATATCCAACATCAACTGTAGCACCAGCAGTGGAAAGTTTAAAAAATTTTTCATAAAATAGGTTGTGGCAGAGTTAAACACGCACAATATACAGCGCAGTTTGTGAAATGGTCTCGACCTACTCTGTCAAGTCTTGTTTCTGGACATGAAAACATGAAAACCCAAATCTTTTGTCTCTGAGCCCCATTTTTCATCTGAAAGATCATAAATCTTTGTGTCCATGTACATGAAATGAATATTTTCCATTTTTAAAAGGCGGCTGGAGGCGTTCATGGTGCACTTGGTCATTTTACCGCTCACAAGACCCAAATTAAAGCTGTAACACCTCACAGATTTTTAAACATTGTAGGGTCTATGCTTACTTATATACTATACTTTCATATTATTTACTTGGTTAAGTTTAGCTGTTTAAGAACAATTTGATTTTGGTTAGGAATTAAAGTGCCATCACCTTTTATTATTATTATTATTATTATTCTTTTAAATTGCAATGGTGACGCATCTCCGTTTTGTCTGGGCTAGATTCGTGCCGGAGACACAAAATACACTCCCTGTTGAAATGCATTACTCACAAATTTGCACTGACTGTTCCAAAAAAAATGTCAGTTCTTATCCGTGTACACAAACAAATGATTAATTTTTCATAACAGATTCATGTTTTTCTTGAAGACCAGGCTTTTTTTTTGTTGCTCCTTAAGAATAGAAGTAAATGATATAAATGACTATGGATGGATGGGTGCCATCAGTCTTGAAATTATGATGCCAGTGTTGGCATTTCCACATCTAGACCTTTAAGCTGAGCCTTCTTCCTTGGGATGTAAAGAATTTGTATACAAATGTCTGCGATCTCATGTTGACATATAGCACCCCCACAGCCAGCACGCTGCCACCCACTGAGCTCTTATTGTGTTAATAATGCAGGCATAGATATGACACACAGATACTGAAAGTAAGGCATATGATTTATGTTACAGACCCTGCAGTGTAATGCTGCAGGGACGCTACTATGTTAGCAAAGCTGTGGTGAAATACACGGTTCATCTGAGCAGCTTTTTTCGTAACCAGTTTTTAAATTAAGGGCAAGTTTTTGTGTTGGCGTGAGCAGCAGAGTGTAAATGGAAGATGGTATAAGAATGTGCTCATGATGTTTGTGCTGTTTGATGAAAGCTGTAATATTTAAAGCTCACCTCAGGTAACTTTTTAAAACTGGGATGCACTGGGATAACAGAGTTTACCTCTTTTCACAATCCACTCATGATCAAGGGATCTACAAGGTTGCAGTTGTGTTGACGTTGTTGGTCAAAGTTGGCTTAAATAATTTTTTGCTTTCAGAAATATTTTTGAATCATCGTAGCCTTCATAAAGAGGAAAAAAGAGCCCCTTTGTCAATAGAATATGTGAAATTAGCAAACACCAGTCTGCAAAAAGGCCTCATCTAGAGCAATCTCCAAAGAAGTAGTATGGTTTGTGCTCATTCACCACACTAAGCTTTTAGGTAGCAAACAATACTAAATCGCAGGAGGTGGCAGGTTCAGTGTCTTGCTCAAAGGCGCTTCAGTAGGGTGTACACTTGCTGGCATGCAGAAGCATTTTAAAATTCCAGCTCTGTGGTTGTTGACCTTGTTCATTAAAGCCACTTTAAACTCTTTTAAATTCCTCTGAACGTGTGTTTCTTGCCCCGCGACATCTGAGACAAACTTCAGCAAAAAATGAATTTATTGTTTTTGTTTTTTGTTGTCGTTTCTTGAAGCGTTTGCGTCGCCCCTGATGGCGGTGAAGGAGGATTTACGGGTATACACGGGGCAGATATCCTCGCAATTTGCCAAGTTGCGAACAAGAGCAGTTAAGAGTTACACTGCTGATCAAAGATTGTGGTTGATGGTATGCTAATGTATGCAAATTGTAATGATACACCAGTGGTTTTGCGCAGACACACTCACGCACAATTCTTGATGACAGAGTTGTTTTGAGGCTAATGGGCTGTGTAAACGGTTGCTTTGAAGCTGATGGTCCTGATAGAAGTTGGAGTGAAATGAGCTGAGACCTTGGCAGACGGGAGAAGCATCATGCTAAAGTAAAATATCTCACTGGGTTTTTTAAAAAATAGTTTCGTTTCTACACTTTATCTTTCTCTCTGCGCTGGTTTGCCATTTCCTCTTCCTTTCCCATCTTTTTTTCTTCCTTATAGGGAGGTCATTTATTGAATTACATCATTTGCACTTTATTCCTTTCCCTCCTTCACAATTTCTAAAGAGGTACATACTCGAGTTATTAAATCAGTTATTTATAAACTCAATTATCCTTCCTTCACTTGCTGTCTTTTGGTCTCTCTTGCTATTTGTTTTCCCTTCCCTTCCAGCTCTCTCTCTTCTTTCTTTTTTTATATTATTGACTCTCCCGGGACTCGTTCTCTTCAGCTCTTTATCGCCTCTCCTCTCGTCTTATCTTGTCTTGTTGCCTCGCTCTCAAACTCTCCGGAGAGAGCCTGGCAGATTGTTTCAGTGCATGAGACCAGATAATCACTCTGCAGTCATTATGTCAGCTATTCTCTTCTTCTCTCTCTCTCTACTCCTCCTCTTCCTCCTCCTCCTGTCTGCTGGAGCTCTATTGATGTGGAGAAATGCTTTGTCTTTTACAGTCGGACATAGCTCAATAAAACCTCAGATTTCTGGGACTGTCGGGGCTGAGCAGCAAAACAAAAGCACTTGCGGTGTGAAAATTATTCTGTCTATACATCGTCTATACAGCTAGAAATGGAAGCTGACACACTTTTGTAAACGCTGTATAAAGAAGAACTACCTTGACATTTCGTGCCAATGTGCACCGTTCCCCCGTCCCCATAAACTGTTGCACAGTCGTGTTTGGGTGCAAACTCGGTGCTGGAGAATCCCTGGATCATTTATCACACAAATGTTTACGTCTCAGAAAGAACTGCTCTGTGTCGTGCCAGTTGCATACCTGCTAATATTTCAGATTCTGTGTTAACATCGCTGCGTAAACTTCTGATCGGGCCTTCTCAGACAGATGAAGTCTTCTAGACTAAACACAAGGTTTGCGGGTTTTTAAGAGGAGCTGACCGGGGCGGCGCGAGTGGGTCCAGCCGTCTTGTTCGGATCCAGGCAGCACAGATTTTGAAATTGGAAAATTCCGCCTCAAAGTCTGAACGAGGCTCCTGCCAAGGAATGCCTCTGCGCCTCGAAGCGAGCCCATAACATTTGAGAGATTGATGTTACCTGTGAGGCCTTACAGCCTTTAGTGCATCTGTGTGCATCAAATGTCCTAACATTTCTTTTATTTTCCGTAAAGGAGAAGCGAACTGATGAGCCTACAGTAACACTGACATGGTTAAAATCTCTCTTTAAAAATAAATCATGACTTTGCGAGGCCTCCACATCTATAGTTTGCTTTTTTTCCCTTTTTTTTTTTTGGGCTTGTAGTGGCTTGTTTTACTTCAGCAGTCTTCATTTGTTCACCTTTTACCAATTTTAAAAGAGGAGACAGCACATAAAACCTTATTACGCTTATTTATAGGCAGTCCATTGGGATAAAAACAACTTTAAGGCTGAGCACCAAAAGAAAAACACCCCCTTAAGACTCAGTAGATTCGTTTCTGTCTTGCTCGGTTGCGTACAACAGTATAATGTAGTTTAGTCTCTGTAGGTGGTTTCTTTGTTTTCCTTCTGCGTGTTCATCACATAAGGCAAATAAGAGCAAACATAGACAATGTATTTGCACTTTTTCTTTTTAAAATCCTCCTAAAATGTTGTCTCACCTTCAGTATTCAGTTCATTGGAACTTCACCTGTATACTGGTTGTGTCATCTCCGAAGTGATTCTGCTCCCCTGTTATTATTGTAAGCCTCCTCAGTTTCTTCTATCGCCTGTCTCTGTTTGTGTGTTTCAGGTGGAGTGGATACAGCAGCAGGTGGTGAAAAGGAGGATCAAGAGGGATTTCAAACAGGCCCCGCTCCTTTCGCTGTCAAGCCCCGCCCACAGCAGCCCAGCCCAAAACAACATATTCTATAATGACGCCAAGTGGAACAGTATGTGGTATATTGTAAGTCCAGTGTATACTTATTCCAGGCTTCCTCTCTGTTTACACCAGACAGAAGAATATAACAAGGGCCCATGAACTCGGTGTATGCAGCACACATCTAGTCTGTTCGGAGGATTGCATGCTGTTCTTTGCCCACATTTATCCAGTTTGTGGGTCAAAGGTCAGGTTAGGTCACGGCATTGTCCTGATTACTGCAGTTGAGCTGAGGGATTTGTGTGTGTGCGTGTGTGTGTGTGTCTTTGTTTGTGTCTAATAAGAATGAAGAGTTGATATAGGATTTTTTCCCCTATAGAGAAATGCTTATGCATCCCCACAAAGATGTTTCAGAAAAATGAGCAGAGTTATAATGGGTATTTTTTAAAATTTTTTAAAAAAAGGATTGCTTTTGCAAAAATATAATGGGGCTTTGATGACAACTATTAGGGAACGATTGCTCTCAAATAAACATTGTACACCATTCTGCTTCTGCTTCACCATTCCAACCTGTACCTTGAAAATCCCGGCATTAATGATGAAATTTAGCTTTTATCTGAACTCTAATTGGAACAAGGAAATTGAGGGTCAAGATTCTTTGTTTATTTGTAAGCATTTGTCACAGGAATGCCCACACAGAGGCGTGTACGTGTCTCTGTGGTGGTGGTGGTGGGGGGGGGATACTTTTTTTTGCTGGCTTATCACTCCTGTTTGCATACACCTTGAGATCATTGCTCCTTAGTTATATGTTTGTGTGTGCGGTCGAGTGTTCCCAGCTCAGTCAATTGTTAACTCAGTGTAGATAACTGCCGATACTTTGACCCGAGGTTCTATATATTTCAGAACTTCATGTGTGTTTTGAACCTGGAATGGAAAACAAGCTTCCTCTGGTCATTCCTATCAAAGTGACCTTACACAGACTGATAGTTCTGTCCAGTTGTATAGTTTGTATTTAATCTAAGTGCAGTGCAATATTACACCATTAATTGTTTGAAATAACTAGAATTTTATTGAGCTGTGTAAGAGGCATAGCAAAGTGCTTCTAATCGATAAATAAAGTGTGTGAAGGAGCAATTTGGGGTTAAACATTACACATCTAAATGTCACTTTAACCTTTAGAAAATAAATTATAGCTCGTGACACACGCCTCTGAATAAGATTTGCTGTGAACAATATTGAAATGCCAGGGTTACACTCGGCAACAGTGACCATGTAGCTGTTTTCAATGAAGACGGTGCGGGAGACGGGACTAAAAAAAAATCCCGTCTGTGCTAGATGAAACAATATCTGACGCCTGCCTCCTGATTTGTCGCGCTCCAGTGGAAGCAGAGTGCGAGAAAGCAGAGGCACATCTGCTCATGTTATCGATCTGCCGCTGTCAGTTTGGGAGAGATCGGTGAATATTTGTGAACTAGGTGGTGTTGTCTTTATTTGCAGACGGCACGCAGCTTTCGGTGGTGTAGCTCTGATTGCGTTCTACAATCCACAGATGATGCATGTTAGCTTAATTGGTGATTTTAAATTGGCTGCAGGTGTGGATGTGAGTTATTGTCTGTCTCTCTGTGTTAGCCCTATAATGGGCTGGGGACCTGTGCTCCCGTTTAGCCCCGTGTCGTGCCTGCAGCCTTAAACTGGATAAAGGTTTAAGAAATTGGTTGGATAGATGTCTTTGGTTGCTGGAATTCCAAATTATCTGCCAGTCACACATCGTGATCCAGGATAATAGTTTAGGATTGGCGATCGAAGTCCCTCAAGATTTAAAGTGTAAAGTGTCTTTGTTAAATTAGAGACTTAATGTAGGACAATAACTGTGTTATTGTGGGGAAAAACTGACACGTTTTATCTCTCTCTCTCAATATAGATAGATAGATAGATCTCTCTTGATAGAGAGAATGTTTGAATTATGTTTTTGCTCTAGTTTTGTGCAGAGAAGTAATGCCAGGTTTTGGGATATTACCTCCTTAGTGGGCTTGCTTAAAGAGCAAGGATGCAGTTGAGATCATAGCTAACAAAAGGACTAACGTCCTACCTTTGACCGGTTTTCTCCAGGTGGGGAAAAAATAGGCCCACACAGGTATTCGCCATGAGCAAAACTGTTTATCTTTGAGTTCAAACACAGTTTTGAAACGGAACAAAAAAAGACTCAACTTTCAGGTGTGCAGAAGCTCCTCTCTGTCATGAGGTTGATGTCATTGTTTTTTTTTCTTTTCCACTGTCAGAGAGCATGCCAGCATTGACAAAGGGAATTAGTAAGCCTGGAGGCAGATGATTCCGGTGATTTGGACAATTTGGAAAAGGTTCTCAGTTGGAACTGGTTCTGGATTCCCATCCCTATTCTTGGCACCCTATTCCCAATGACATCATGCAGGTCTTGAATGGCAGCAAGTAATGACTGGTTGGTGATCAGTGTGTAGTTGCAGTTTGAGTCTGTTTCAAATGGTTGAAACACACGGTGTGAGGTATTTTTCAAAAACGCTGGGCTTTAACTCGATTGGAGTTGTTGAAGTTAAATCGTTCCCTTCTAAGTAAAACCAGAACTCTACCGCTTGCTCCAAGTTGAAAGAAAGTGACATGAGTACGCTCATAACTTGTAACTCCTAGCTGAACATCTGCAAGAACATGATGGAGTTCCTAAACTCCCACCTCATATGTTTATCCCCACCTGCTCTCTTCTCACCATCTGCTTCCATCTCTGCAGCACTGCAACGATGACGTCCATAATTGCCAGTCGGATATGAACATCATGGGAGCGTGGAAGAGGGGCTACACGGGTAAAGACGTGGTGGTGACCATATTAGATGACGGGATCGAGAGGAACCACCCAGACCTCTATCAGAACTACGTGAGTGTGTATGTATGCGCGTGTAGGGCGGCTACGAGTGGCAGTGTGTGCGCATATTGGCTTTGAGTCGGTGTGTGACAAGTGAGGAAGTGTATGAGTTCAAATGTAAGTGCCCCTGCATGTGTTTGCATGAATGGCTATGAGTCTGCCTCATTCAGGATTAACAAGTCACATATACAACACAGTGCACTGATTAATACATAGCAATGCAGTGCCACACTATTGTGATCCTGTTTCTCTTTATTCTTTATCCTTTATTATTCTAGTTGCTCCGTTTCTGCTTAGCTACTCCCTCAGTTTTCATCCGATTTTCACCATTCAAATTTTAACCTGTTCTGCTCTTTCTGCTAATGACTGCTATATCTTTTTGTGCTCATAACTTTTATACTTTTTGAAATATTAAGCTTTTTATGCCATATTTTGTCCCATTGAGATGACTGGGACCACATGACAAGTGTGGTCTCTGATATTGCTTGCTGGGGTCACCTGTGTTTTGGCTCAGTGAGATGAGCAGCCATTCTCAGAGCGGGAGGTCTGGGTTCGAATCCCGCTTATGGCAATAATTTTTCAGTTAAAAGTTCAACCTTTTTAACTCTTTTCAACACAAATTTCAGCTTCTTCACCTCTTTTCAGCAGAGCTTTCAGATTTTTCATCTCTTTTCAGCACAAATTCCAGATTCTTCAGCTGTTTTCAGAAGAAACTACAGCTTCTTTACCTCTTTTCAGTTTCTTCACCTCTTTTCAGCTTTTTTCAGCAGAAAGTTTAGATTTTCCACTCTTTTCAGCATAATTCAGCTTCTTCTGCACAGTGCACATTTTGTCTCTCATCATATCTTTCTGTGTGACCAGAACTGGCTTGGCTCAGTGGGATGAGCAGCTGCCGTGTGATCCGGTGGCAAAGGTTCGAATCCTACCTGTGGCGGTTGCCGCACATCTTCCCCGCTTGCATGTACGCTTTATTGACAGCAAAGAGTTGAGCTTCTACACAGTGTTTTCAGCAGATAGTTCTCCTCCTTCTGCTGTTTTTAGATTCCACTACACAGCATTCACACTGCATTTTCAGGAAATGCAACTTTTTCTAGTAATGTAAATGTGGAGGAAGAAAAAAACGATTATAATTGTGATTTTAATAATACAAATTCTGCTTTGTAATCACACTGTTTCTCTTTACCATGTAACCAAGTCGTGTTCCAGAAGACAGCAGTCATGTGATGAACTAGGTAGTGATATTTGCTGCCATTTGGATCATCAGCCCATCATGTGTCTGCAATTAAATTCCAGAGAAAAACTTCCTTAAACTTGCAGGTGTGCAGTTATGCTGTGTGTACATGTTTATCTCTCTGTGGGCTCACACTTTAGTGTTTGTGCGTGCTGAGGTATGTCTACCTACGACCGAGAACTGATAGTTGAACTAACTTGTTGGCTTGAGGCAGCAGGTAAAGCCATCAATCAGCTGCACAGATGAAATGATTCACACCCTCTTTGCGCTGCTGTTATTAGCTACTCTTAATGCTTAGATTTGTTTATGCCGAAGGGCGAGTGGTGCCGCAGATTGAGTTAGCTCTGATTGCATTCGATTTACAAAACTGTTGTGAGTCGTGTTGATGTGAACTCTTTGATTGGGTTAGAGAAGCTTTTTGGCGATCTACAAGCCAGTTATACACACACACTCACAGAGAGTGTTGGACCTACTCTACTAATGAATTCACTTGTTTGCTTGATATTTCCCCATTGTGTGTGTGTGTGTGTGTGTGTGTGTGTGTGTGTGTGTGTGTTTTACAGCCATCGTTATGATGTTTTGTTATACTTGTGTTGACCTCCATGTCTCCTCCAGGACCCTCAGGCAAGCTATGATGTCAACAGCAACGATGTGGATCCCATGCCTCGATATGATGCGACCAACGAGAACAAGTAAGGAAAATAAATAAGGAAATCTACCCCATAGCAGAGACAGCAAGAAATTAAATTTTAACTGTAACAGGGTTTTAGAAAATAAGCATGTGGCTTCACTGTTTTGTTTTTGCCAAAAGCTCTTCAGGATAATTTTTTTCCCTTCATTGATTTCTACAACAAGCTCTGTGCTTCAATATGTTTGTATTTGCTGAGTCCTGACTCTGTTTTGGTGCAGTGAGTTATATTAGCATATTTGTCTTGATGCATGCTCAATCAGTCAGGTAAGGAAATCCTGAAAAGTTGATTCTGTTCATCTGGACGTCGCTTTTTCAGTGGGAGAAACGTCACTCATCCAAGTGACTTCTTCAGTCTCAGCTGATTGCAGTTTCCTCTTAGTCTTATAAAAGGTACATTAGCATAATGACTAAAACTAGCACCACTGACGAACAATGGGCTGTGAGGTCAGTTTCTGCGTCATTAATATGCAAGTTGTCATGACCGATGATCAACAACCACTGATCGCATTAAGTTCACCAGGGAGGATGTGATTTATGACAGTTTAGCCTTCTTAGCTGTGAGATTTCCATCAGTAATGGGGGACATTTAAATGTTGCTGTGTACCGTAAACCTACGCATATGGATCAGTATTTAAGGTTCGACTCTCATCACTGGAGCACAAACTGGGTGTCCTCAGGACGCTACAATACGGAGCGAACACCAGCCCTACAGATACAGCGGCCAGCGAAGCAGAAGAACATCACATCAAGAAGGCCCTGAGTAAATGTTGTTATCTCAGCTGGACATTTGTCAAAGCTGGGAAGGCACCTAAAGAAAGCTTTCTTTCTTCTCTCCAGCCGATCCAGGAGAGAAGAAGGACAAAAACCCTTGGTGATCCCATATGTGTCAGGAGTATCGGGACTGTCGAGAAACATTTTCTCTAAACACCGCATATCTGTGGCTTTCAAACACCAAAACACGCTGTTTTAAAAATTTGTCCGCATCAATCTGGATCTGGTCCCCCGACACAAACAGAGTAGTGTGGTGTATTGTGGAAACCAAACAACCTCTGATGAAGCAGATGGCTCAACGCAGAATAGCTAACTCGTCAGGCCAGGACTCGGCAGTCTATTAACACCTACAGGCCAGTGGACACTCTTTCAATGATAAGGATGTACACATCCTGAACAGGGAGGAATGGTGGTTTGAGCGGGGAGTCAAAGAGGCCATTTACAAGGAAGAGGGAAAGACCATCTCTGAATCGAGGAGGGGGCCTAAGGGTACATCTTTCGCCCTATTACAATGCTCTGATTGCAGCCATTCCCCAACTCTCTGTGAACGGTACTCATGGTCACTGATCAATGATCAATGAGCTTTGATCAGTGGTTGTTGGTCAATGGTCATGACAGTTTACATGTTAATGATTCAGAAACTTGCCTCAGAGCCCATTGTTCATTCAATGGTGCTAGTTTCAGTCATTATGCAAATGTACTGTCTATAAGGTCGGGGAAACCTGCAGTCAGCTGAGAATGAAGAAGTAATTTGGAACTCGCTTGCCTGTGCACTTGTCTTGTGCCAGTTTGGCTCAGTGAGTGATTTTTGGGTGTGTGTGTGTGTATTTGGCACAGCAGCTCAAGTGCCGTGGCAATAGCTCAGTCCCTGCTGGTAATACGTTGTCTTAAAGAGACACGAGGGCCACGATGCAGCTTAACGAGCTGGTTTCTGTTTCGGTTTGAATTTATATTTGACTGTGATGCATGTGGAAGAGAAATCTGGTTTATTTTTGTTTTTTGAGTCTATCATTCTCTATATGATGATTTTCTGCAGATAATTTTATCTGAATACACGAGGCACGTAATCTGTTAGCTATGTAAAGGGATAAGCTAAATTTAACTACATCTGGAATCAAAATGCAGATTATTGTCAGCAGTTACATAATGCTTGTGGATTTATGATGTCTATGTGTATAAGCAGCAAGCAGGAGGGGATAAACAACTGCATTATCACTATATTAGTCTCCTTTACAGCTCTCTGAAGTAATGTCTTTGGATCATTTATTTATTTAACAGTGAACATGCATATTACCCACAGTTTATTGAAATATAATTTGACAAAAATGGGGGAAAAAATATCAAAATCGCGTCAGCCAAGATGTTCTTAAAGGTACAGTCTGTAATTTTTTGATTAGTAAGTGGGAAATTACAAACTGATGCATTCTCATAAACTTAGAATTAATCCATGAAAAATACATAGGAATGGGCATCAGTTTGTGGAAGCCACCATGTTGCCCCTTCATCTTGAATACAGTGGCTGAGAATGCCAAATTGGGAGGAGAAGAGGAACTGTAGGTGCACGTGGGGCTTCCCGGCAAAACTTAATTAGTGTCTGACCTTCAGACTC